TCTCACACACACACACACACACACACACACACACACACACACACACACACACGTGTACAGCTAAATTTTAAGTAAACGGTAAACTTTTATTTGGAACGGGAAGTGCAGAGAACGTAAAATAAAACGTAGGCTGAAAAATCATCAGGGACATACGCGCACGTATACACATGAAATTTTCTTATTAGCTCATGTTTCTTTCTGTACAATCTTCTGTGGACTTTATGCTCAAACTCTTCAATGGCATTTTGTGACTATCGGCGTGTGTTGTGTAATGGTTAGGTATTTTTGCCATTACCCCAAAAGACAGTTCTTAACTCTTTACCGACGTAGAGGACATGTCGCCACCTCAGAATTACAAAATTTTATCTGGCATTTTTTGCCGTTTTGAGTTAGTAAGACCACGAGGCCAGAATGCAAATGATCTATATGTTCCATCAAAATAGTAAGAATATTCAGAGTCGTTATCAAGATATTCCAAGAACTGCTTTCGAAAAAGCTTGACATATCGTGAAACTCAAAGACTTTTACGTCAAATTTCTCAAATCTATGTATTGAGCGGAGAGAACTTTGTAATTCTGAAGTAGCAATGTATGTCCGATTAACAGCTAAACAAAGCAATTTTGTGGCTCCTTTAAGGGAAATTTGAACATTTTATGATATGCACGTTTTGCCTGCTTTTGACGTTTAAGTGAAGAGAACACAATTTCAAAAAACAAAACAAATAACAATGCTGTTTTTATTTTAAAGATTTCCAAAAACAAAGTGTCTCCAAGCATTGTCCAATAAGCAGAAGGTGTGTCTTCAATAAAATAAAGCACGCTTTTAAAATGAAGTAATATAGCAGCAGTCTCCACATGTTTGTTCCTTTGAAAATTATGCAACCTGGTAAGTATAGTAGTGTGTATTATTGGGGTGTTAGTGGTCTGTTTACACGTTTCTATTTTGCTACTCTCATTTTCTGTAGATTCAAAGATAAATGAAGCTATATTAAAGTTATAGAAAACAATTACTAATATAAACGTTCGTCTTATAGTCTCAGTTCCAGGAAAACGTGTAGTGGACAGCCGGAATTATACCCGGATGCCAAGGTCTAGGGTTTTATCCTGTCTTTAGAGCAATCTGAAAAATGGGTGCAGTCTCTAATGTGGTGACATCAACTTTGTTGACGTATGCCATTAGACCAAATACGAGGTAAAGTAGGATTTGCGTATTCAGACAGACAGACAGACAGACAGACAGACAGACAGACAGACAGACAGACAGACAGGCAGACAGACAGACAGACAGACAGATCATTTAAATATTGCCAAAAGAACCCTGTAATTCTAGGATGTCGTCATACTTGTAGTAACGTCGTAGTTTCCCTCGCATGGCCTGGGGCAAGAAGCGACGCATGCCCTCCACCAGGTTTCGATGTTCTGGGAGCACTTGACCGTATTCTATCTGTTTCAGGCACTGCCACACGGAATAAAAAACAAACAGGTGTGAAGAAAATAGGCTACTCAAAACAAAAAAGTGCTATATGTGTTTTCCCCGAGTGAAGCTTGAGCTTGCAATGGCACATTATACAAAATTCCACTCAAAAAGTTAATAAAACGTTTAATCTGTTTACTATTTTTCTCCTAGGCCAACAGATGGGTAATGGCCTTTCAGCATTGTATTTTATTTTTACTTTTACGGATTAAAGATATCTTGAAACAGAGAAAAAATTGAACAAACTTGGTTAAGTGTTTCAACATTATAGTTGAAATATGATTAATTAAACGGGTTTTTTTAAACTACAAAATATCTCGATTATACTATTCGGGCCTAGTATACTACATGTAAAAATATAGGACGTTAGCTCAGACAACATAGCTAGTTCTAAGTTGAACCTTTGGAAGCTTTGGAATACCTAATAGACTGTTTTGTCAGTCACTCGTGTTGAAAAAAGTACTTTCCACTCTTGATAATCGATCTTGTTTCTATGTTGATACAAAGCTGGTAAGAGTCCTTTGTTCCATCGATTTTGGGCACAGATATATGTGTAAGTGGTGTCTGCAACACATAGTCAACTCGCTACCCTAAAGTACAAAGTTTCATTTGCTCAGTACCTAGTTTTTGAGAAATTTTAAGTTAAAATTTTGAGTTTCACAACATGATTAAGCGTTTTCAGATGCCATTCTTTGAATACCTTAATAACGACTCCTAATAATCTTTTGGTTTTGATAGAGCAAATATAACATTTAATTTGGTTTCTGACCTCAAGGTCTTAGTAACTCAAAAGAACAAAAAAATATCAGATAGAACTTCGTAATTGTAAGGTAGCCAACTGTCTACGATTATCTTTTGTACCGAAGGATTGGGTTATCAAAACAAGATCATGCAAAAGCAATGTCTTTGTTGAGCCACTATTATATGAACAATCCGTTTAAGTTTGAAAAAAAATAGTAAGTGAAGCTACAAAATGTCGAAAATAACGGGGCTTGAAAAAATATTGAGTCCAAGAGAAGCTTGACTGAAAGTAGCAAAATCGCATACTTTGAGCGGTCTCAACATAATGAAAGATGAATGTAGAAAACGGTCTGCACTGTGAATTTATGTAGGGAGATTAGCTTTTAAGCTGAAAAACAACACTACAAAGGAAGATATTTTTCTTAAGTACTCTTCCTTTTAGTAACCAATAAGAGTTGAGCTAGTGCCAGTCGACTTAGTGCCACATTGTTGTAGGTTGAAGTTTCTTGGCTCCTTGTCGAAAAAAATCATCCACAGGGCAACAGATTCAATACCTCTTCATCCATGATGCGCAATAGCGCGAGCTAGAAAAATATAGTTGAAAAATATTGTAAAATGGAACACCTATAGCAAAGCTATGATCACCTCCATCATTATTAAGTGCTAGATCTGAAACAGACATCGACGATCATAATTCGTCATTCTTTTACTTCAATGTTCTCAAGAAACCTACAGCACCCCTTTTTTCATTGTAACCCATTTGTTGAGTTTTCCAAGTATTTTACTCTGGGTCTACCTATGCCTCGTTTGCCTTCCATTTTCCCAGGGAGAGAAAGATGTTCATAGCATCTATGTTGCGTTGAATGTCCTGGAAACCCAATTTGTCTCTTTCTAGTTGTTTACATAATACACGATGCAGTAAAGTAATTGTTGTATCTTCACCTTCATCGCAGAGATCGGGTAGAGCTGTGACTTCTTCACGTCTGGAAGGATCAGAGATAGCCGATCGGCCACGGCGGTCAAAACTCTGTCGTGGTCAGACTCCTTCACGTGGTCCCAGCGGTTACAGACGAACAGAGTGCTATATGGGTCAAAGCCATTAGTTGTCTCAATAGCCTTGAGCAGTAGTTGGCCCAGCTGAAAAGGGTCAAATCAGTTTATATAGAAGCATATTATTAATAATTTTGACACAGCTTTTACGTCCAACTAAGCTTAAACATGACACCTCGAAGATGGGGTTCTTTCCCTGGCTGATAATAATAATATATAATATGACG